GGGTCCAGCCCCCTCCCTTTTATTACGAAGTCTGGAGTATCCTGGGACGTCATTCTCTGATGAGAGTTGGTCTTGTGGGCCGGCCGTCCCTGGGCTCGGACTCTGCGGCGGGGCGGCTGCGAGGCTGCGGCCTGCTCCCCGCGGGCGCGTGGGCCGCGGCCGCTGGCCGGGTCGGCGGGCAGGGCGCCGCGCGCCGTCTGGGAGCCAGGGGAGGCGAGGCAGGACCAGGCGAGTGACGATGGGGAGGAGGAGGAGGAGGAGGAGGAGGAGGAGGAGGAGGAGGAGGAGGAGGAGGAGGAGGCGGAGGGAGGAGGAGGAGGAGGAGGAGGAGGAGGCTTTTTGTACTTCCCCCCCTTTGGGCGGCGCGCGCAGCTCTGGGAGAAGCGCGGGGCCCAGAGAGCCTAGGCTCCAGAAGGCCTCGGATGCCCCCCTGGACCGCCAGAGAGGGCCCGTGGAGGCATTGAGTCGAAAACAAAGAAAGTCATGAACACAAACTTTGGGCGTCCCGCTCGGAGTTCTTGGATCCGCGCTGGGCCCCCCTTTGGCGGCGCCTCCGGCGCCGCCCCTGGCGCGCTCCGCGCGCCAGGGAGGGGGGTCCAGCGCAGATCCTAGAAGTCCGTGCGGACCATCGAACGTTTGCGCTTGTGCCGATCTTTCTCTGCCTCTGCAGAGAAGGCCCGCGGAGGCACGGAGAGGCCCCGACAGCGGCCTCGGATGCCCAGCGGGCCCGGGGGGACCGTGCGGGGGAACCCGGGGCGGCCAGAGGGGCCAGGATCGTTCGGCTGTGCTGGTCCCGAGGCCAAGCGCAAACGCGAGTGCCACGAGGGAGGGATGCGAAACGGGCTCTGCAAGGAGGGCTGCCCCGAGAGCCGAGGCTCCCGCTGAGTTGGAGCGGCCGGTTTCTGGCCATCTTCGGCCTCCCTGGGCCCTCAGCGGGCCCCGGGGCTCCACGGGCGGAAGGCCAGCGGCACGGGAGCGGCTCCACGGGCGGAAGGCCAGCGGCCGAGCAGGGGATCGGCTGCAGAGTCAGTGCCCACCAGAGCTGGTTTCTTCGTCGGGCACGAGGCGTAGTTATGTTCGCAGATGGTCGAACATTCCATGTCTCTTCCGCAGGCTCGACGGGCGAATCACTTCTGGGTGTAGATCGATGTTGTAGCCGATCCCCTTCGGCTACAGAAATTCATGTACCCCAGAGCTGGTTTCCTCGTCGAACCTACAGCTGCAATCCGCAGCATGTTCGCAGATCTACGAACATTCCACCGCAGCTTCGACGAAGGAATCACTTCTGGGTGAATCGATGCTGTCGTCGATCCCCGTGTCGAGACGGAGGGCCTTCGGAGGGCGGCGGAGGTGAGGGCGGTGCGTCAAAGGTGTCTGTGTTCATGCTCCGGTGGGCGCTACCGCCGTCCCGCGGCCCTCCCCCCCCCCCGGCGCCTCCCCTCCCGCGTGCTCGCTTCGCTCCCGTCGCGCCCTGCCCTGTGGTCGACCGCTTGCCGGATCCGGCTCGCCGCAGGTCTCAGAAGTTTGGGCCCACGACTGTGCCCCGGGGTCTGTTCGTCTGCGCTGGCTGCCTCGTGAACGTGGGCCTGCCCTCCGGGACACCCTTAAGGTCTACACGGTCCGAGGGTTCTCCAGCCGTCTCGCGGTCTTCTTCCTCCTCGCCTCTCGCCTGTCTGCGCCCCTGCGCCTCTATTCGCAACGAAAATGCGTCCCGCCGTTTGGTCGCTTGTTGGACCCAACGCGCCGCCGATCGAAATGTTGTGGGTTTTTTCAGCATCGGCCACGTGGATGGGTCCCAGAGGGGTGCGACGGCGATTTTGGAGCGAGTATGTCCATCGGTTGGCGAATGGTGGCAAGGGGTGGGTTGGCCATGGACGCTTCCGCGCAACAGCTCGAAATCTCAGTTCACCGAGGTCGTTTCCTAAGTCGGAGTGTATCTGTTCGCTGCATCCAGCCTGAATTCCTGACAGCTTTGCCCAGGCTGCTCTAGCGTATAATCTCTCAGGCCGGAGCCAGCTTGCCCTCTCGACATGTTTGACTTGCGTTGGCGGTGGAAGGACTTCGCTTACCAGGTCTCCACGGTTTACTTGGGCACGACCTGCAGGTAGGTAGAGATGTAACGCCCACGATCCGAGGAGGTTCAAGGCGATGCAAGCCTCCTACTACAACCATCCCGATATCCCGATCCAAGGGGTGCTAGTCTTCGAGGCAACTTTGGATGCCGTGGGATGCCCGTGGAGGCATTGCATCTGCATGCTCCAGGAAGGCTCGAGAAAATTGCTCAGAGCCAGTCGAAGCTCCTGAGAGTACCAGCCTGACGACTTCCAGAGCCAGGAGTCCCCAGAGATACTTGCCTGTGTCTGCCAGTGGTTGTGCCGGGCTGGATGCAGCGCCCGCGTGTACAAGCCAGACAACTGTCGGCAGAAGGGCCCGAAGGTACCCGCCAGAATACTGTCAAGGCTTCCTGGCGGAAGCGCGCGAAGGTACTTGTCCGTGCGCTCTGAAGCTGCTCTCGGAGGCCACGAGGGCCTCAAGAGCAATGGGAGACCCTGTGCGCCAAGGAAGTCCCCATTCCAGAAGGACAAGTCGATCGGACCGAGCTGAATGTCGCTCACAAGCGGGACCTGGACTTCGATTGCGCTGCCATGTACGCGGCAAGTCGGGAGCTTGGCGAAGAAGCTGGACTGCGCGTCCCTCTAGACGACCTGGTGGAGATTCCTGGCGACACGACAACGACCCCACCTCGCGATAACTACGGGTTCGTCTATTTGGCACCACCTGAGGTTAAGGGGCCGCAGTATCGCTCTCGTAGTGAGGCGGTGTATCAGGGTGTTCAGGACTTGGGATTCCCTGCCGGAGATCACTACCATGCCTGGGTCGGCGGGGGCGACCTAATCGCGCTACCAGACCGTCTGTCAGCACGCGAGCAGCCACTGGACCACATCGCGAAGGTGGAGAAGGAGAGGGTCCTGCAGATGCAGCAAGGCATGGTGAAGCAGGCGGAGGCGACAAAGGATGAGCCACCCGAACTCGAAACGAACGGACGCTGGCCTACCGACGATGTGATCTACTACCTGGCATTAAAGAGCCGTGCTCAGCCGATCGCCCAGGATCCGAGCTTCATGGTGACCTTCAACGATCCCACGTCGGAGATGATGGCCGTGCACCATTAGTGCCCGAGACAGCCTACTTTCCGTGTTTGGCTGAAGTTGCCGACGCAAATGGTTTTTGATTTCGCCCTGAGTCTGATTGAGTCGTGCAACGCCTTTGCGTGCGAAATCGTACAGGATGTGGCTATATCGAGGCCCTCTACGCGTACTTCCAGGTGCGCGGACACCGAGCTCTACGGCCCCTCCCATCCTCACCCGGTGACAGATCTCGTCGCTGCGCCATTTCGAAATCTGCTTCGCTGGGAACCTGCGGCGCAGGCCATCGTCCCCGGCATGAATTGCAGCGAACTTCCGAATATCAGCAGAAACCTATGGCATCCTCCTCAGGAGAAGAAACACTTTATGGTCGACAGCTGGGGGGGGGGCTGGCAAAAGAACGCGAGGGCGCCATCGAGGATATTTTTGACCGCATCAAGATCCTCTGAGAGGCAGGCCGAGCAGAAGGAATGACACGCGAGCTGGAGAACCTCGGCGAGTTGAACGGCGCAGTCGGGATCCGCAGAGGCTTCGTCGAGAATCTGCCACTCATGGGCGGATCCATCTCCGGGGCCATGAAGTCCGCGGTGACTATTGATTACTGCGCCGCTGCTTCAGTGCTGGAAGGACCTCCGGCAGAGAAGGGTTGGATACTTATTGGACCTGTAACAAAGTACATCAGCGCCCACTGGCGGAAGGTTTACAAGCTTTTCAGGAGGAAGAAGAGGGTCTTCAACAAGATGATTAGCGACCGCCGGAAGACGGGTCACTAGGTCGACGCGACTAGGGGCCACCTACTCGACACCCTCCTTCACTATGACATGCCCGTTTTGGCCGCGTTGGTTCTGGAAGCTCATTTTGGGGGACCCTAGTCCCTAAAGGATCCCGCTTTAATCTTGGGCGTCTCTCAGGACTCATCGATGGCCTTCACGCCAAGAGGCCAATTGCGCACCCACCCTGCCAGACCGCTGGGCGACGGGCATGGCGCCGACGTGCGCAAGGGAGATGCAGCGCGACAAGGAGCTCAACGAGATGGAAGCCCAGGTCGAGACTGCCTTCCACGGTGCCGTCTTGGCAGCGCTGGCATGCATCTAGAGCAAGACGGGCTTGTGCGGCGTTTTCTGCGACATGACAACTCGCCGTGCCTCTTGCGCCCGCCGCGTGGAGCATGCGTCGTCTGACGTCAGCCCTGAGATGAACCTGCGCTCCTGCGTCTTCGAGCTGCAGGTGGATCGCAACCGCCGCGCAGGCTCATCCAAGATGCGTGTCCACAGGCAGCGGCGCCAGACCGAAGGCAGCGGCTACGTCGATGCGCTCTGGATCCACACTGCGACGATGAGAGAAATCTGCGACAAGCTACACGCGAAGGAGCAAGTCTTCGGATTGCACAGGGTCTGGAATCGCACGGTCAGGATGCACCCCGCGGCGAAGGCCATCCCGATGGCGTTTCCGAGTGTCCACGCGTATTCAGACGAGGCGATCGAGGATGGATTCCGATTTCCAGATGACCGACGTCGAGCTGGTTCCCAAGGGCGAGAGATGGGTTCCTCAGTGGACCGAGGGGCTCAGCGCGGCAGATCTTCTTCTGGAGCGCACCGCCACACCGTGCGACCCACGCGGGATCGAGCCACATAGTTTCATGTGTCAGATGCGGCAGGCTGCGGACGCAGCGAAGCCAGAAGACCTTATCATGAGCCCTGGGTCGGACAATCCTTTAAAGGAGGTCTCCAAGATATACTCTCAAGTCCTGCGTGTTCGTGGAGCTACACCAGCTGCACGTCACTGAGGCCCTGGTAGTACGTGGAATGGCTACGGTATCTTTTGAGAGAGGAGTTTCGTCTTCTGAGGCGAGGCGGCGTTTCGACTGCAAGAAAGCTAGGAGCTGTGGCTGCTGAGCCCCTGTCAGCCGATCCTCCTCCTGCGCCTCTCTCCGTACTTCCTTGTGTGCCGCCGTATCGGCTCGCAAGGGCCCTGTCGTGGCGCGCCGGTGACGGACGCGCCCACGCCTCCGTTGAAGGAAAAAGAACGTGCTCTCTTTTAGCGCGGGTGCGGTGCCCCTATTTGTACCTCGTCTCTCTCCCTCTCTGCATCCATGCAGCCACCCCTGTGCAATCCACATTGTTGTTGTTGCTGTTGTTGCTGTTGTTGTTGGTGTTGCTGTTGTTGCGTCGTTGTTGTGGTTGTTTGTGTTGTTGTCATTGACGTTGTTGTGGTTGCTGCTGCTGTTGGTTCCTGAAAAGTAATAGTTGTTTGTGCCCCTTCCGGTAATCATTGCACTCTTCAATTAAAGGTCTTCTCCCGAGGCTCGCGTTTGTTCACAAGGGCGGGCGAGAGGTCACCAAACTGCGTCGCTGGCGCCCAAACAACAACACCAGTTCCTGCTTGATGTTTCCGAACAGTGGATTCCAGACTCGCGCTTTCGCGCTGAACTTCCTCACGTGTCCTGCAAAAGCCGCGCTCTCGCATGGGACTTATTCGCGATTTACTCAGACGCCGCGCTTTCGACACCCAGGAATCACGCTCTCGCTCTGGTCTCTCTGTCGATATATTTGGAAATCGCGCTACCGTTCGAGCTCTCCTCGCGATTCACGCAATATTCACGCTTCAGCAATTCGCCTTCTCGACTTGGTCGCGGGGGCCCGCCTTCCCGACCCGCCTGTTAGGATCTACCCGCCCGATGGGCCCGCCTGGTTCTGCCACGTGCTTTGTGTTCCTAGCCCCCGTCCTGCGTATCCCGTGTTCCGTCCTCCTCCTTCCCATTTCCATCCGTCCTCTCTTCCCCTTTTTCAGAGGCTGCGGCAACGCTGCAGGCTGGGAATCTATGCCAAAAAGGGGGCGCGACCGAAGACGAAACAGCCGGGAACCGAAGTTTTGGGATATATGCGGTGACTGGCACGCGAGCAGGTAACTGCGAACATGCTTAAAGTGATTGTTGGTTATGCTCCTGTTGTGATGTTGATTGGGATGTTCGTTGTTGTCGTTGTTACTATTGCTGTTGCTGTTGCTGTTGCTGTTGTTGCTGTTGTGTTTGTTGATGTTGTTGTTGCTGATGTTGCTTCTGCTGTGCCTGAAGATGGTGTTCTTGTTGTGATTCTTGAAGAAAACACGCCAGTACTTCGATGGACAGATGGTTGCGATTTAGTACATATCGTTAAAAACGCTGAAGTTGCTGAAAGCAAATCGAATGGAACCAGTGCTGGTCGGCAATCTTGTCGAACGCATGGCACGCTTGATTGTCTTTCGTTTTTTTGTGTCAACGCCAGTTCGCGTTCGAGGAATGCTCAAGGCTTCTGGTAGCGTGTCTCCAAACTGCGACGATGAGGGAGATCTGCGACAAGCTACATGCGAAGGAACAAGTCTTTGGATTGCACAGGGTCTGGAATCGCACGGTCAGGATGTACCTCTCGGCGAAGGCCATCCCGATAGTGTTTCCTAGTGCACACGCGTACTCAGACGAGGCGATCGAGGACTCCGAGTTCCCGATGACCGACGTCAAGCTGGTTCCCAAGTCAGGGTGAGTGAACAGCCTCGGCAGAATTCATTTGCGCGGGGGGCCTCGCGAGAATGTCGGCGTGGTCCCATCATTTCCCGGGCCAGGGAGGGTGCCAGCTCGGGGGGCCGACGGCGTGTCGAGCCGGGTCCTGGCGAAGATGCGGGGTCGGCGTCCCGGGGGAGAGCGCGCCGCTTTCGGCCACGCTCGGGGCCTCGGAGGGGCTCCAGACCCTTCGCGCTTGATGACTGCGCCGCCCTCGGGGTCCGCTGCGACCTTCGACCCCGGACTTCTGGCGCTCCAATTTGTCCCCTGCGTGGACCCCCGAAGGCTGGGACCACTTCCCCAGAGCCAGCCTTTCGTCCCGAGTCGTTTTCTTGACGGTCCGGGCGCCCGACGAGGACCCCTGGAGGCCGAAAACGACTGCAAACCGGCCGCGCCAGTTTCTTCGGAGCCTCGCGACGGAGCTCTGCGACGTCCAGGGCCCCTGGCGATGCTGCCAGCCACGGGCGCCGGCAGCAAGGGAGAGGGACGCCTGCCTGGGCGCGCGCACTTCTCCGGGGGGACTGCGCCGCCCCCGGCCACGCTCGGGGGGCCGCGGAGCCCTCGGCCCTCCCCGCCGCGGGAGCGCCGGCGGCGGCGAGCATCTGTTCTCAGGGGCAACGATAAGGGGGGAGGAGGAGGAGGAGGAGGGGGAGGAGGAGGGGGAGGAGGAGGAGGAGGAGGAGGAGGAGGAGGAGGAGGAGGAGGAGGAGGAGGATAGAGGAGGAGGAGGAGGAGGAGGAGGGAAGAGGAGGAGGAGGAGGAGGAAGGAGGGAGGAGGGAGGAGGGAGGAGGGAGGAGGGAGGGGAAGAAGGAGGAGGAGGAGGAGGAGGAGGAGGAGGAGGGAGGAGGAGGAGGAGGAGGAGGAGGAGGTCGACCCCCAGTCGCCCCGCCATCGCTGACAGGGGCCCGACAGCCCGCTCCGCCCAGGCACGGGCGGTGTCGCAATCGGGGGCCTATCGCCGATGCATCGGCGAGGTGCCGCCGATGCAAGCTCGATGTCGCAGGCCCAGAGGTTGACACCAACACCAAGATCGGCGGTGTGCCTCCACCGAGGGATGGAGGTCCCGATCTCGGTGCTGGTGGTAATATTCTGGCTTCCAAGGTGGCCGAACTATTTTACCACCAACACCGAAATCCAGGATCATCTTCCCCCTGTGGAGGCAACCCCCTGTTTTGGTGTTGGTGCCCATTTCCAGGCCTCCAACGATGTCCTGCCCCCCCCCCCCAGAGCTGGTCCCCCCCGAACGTTGACCATCATGCTCCCGTGCGCCCATGCCGGCTGCTTGGGCCCCCGGGGACGCCGTGCGCTGAGCAGCACGCTCCCAGAGATCCGAGGATCCGACAAGACTGGAGCAAGCAGCTGAGGTTCAAGCAAAATTCAGGAACAGACCTCTGAGGGGTCCACGCATCGAAACATTGGAGCGCCGAGTGTCTGGGTTGTGTACGTGTTGTCGCCGGCGGAGCAGCGTACATCGGATGCCTTTTCTTGCCAGAGCAGCTGTATCACAGGCCTCCACAGATACAGAAACCACCAGGACACCAGGTTTTCCCACATCCGCTCTTGTTGGATAGCATTTGGGGCAGCAGTTCTCCATGGTGGCCAACTTGCAGGAACAAGCATATTTACAAGTACGAACTGTTAGGACACCTGGCCCGCGCGGCCGGATGGTACCGCATAGGGGGCCAGTGGAAGTCATCTCTTTCCCGCCATCTTCAGCACTTCGTGGTATGTGTTGCGTCAGGCTTGCAAGACGCATCTGGAGTATCACACCACAAGCATGAAGAAAGTAACAAGCAAGACGGCATATCGCGGCCTCCAGATCTTGATTGTTTCTCTTTCGTGAAACGCGATGCCAGGTAGACGCAGATCCGCCAACCGGCGCGAACATGGTCGAGGCAACGAGGCACGCGGTGGGCTTGACATGAGATGTATTCATGTTTCTGATCGAAAGATGCCCCGTATTGTTAGTTTCGGGCCGAACGAAAGGGGGGGATTGGGAAAGGGGGGGTTACGAAATTCGCTGCATGCAGCAGGTTTTGGCCTCGCCGAGGGGCCCATTCCTCGATACATGGCCGCCTCTGGCGCCGGGAGGCGCCGGGAAAATCAGCTACGTGAGGTGATTCTCACCCCCCCCTTTGCTATCCCCCCCTTTCGCCCGACCCGATAGTTGCTTCCGGTCCCTGGGACCACCAGCAAGGGCGGTGCAGGACGAAAAGCGGACCTTGGGGGGGAAGCCGCGGGGTCCAGGAAGCCGTTTCCCTCGGGACTTCGGGCACAAGGTCCAGGAGGAGGAGGAGGAGGAGGCGGAGGAGGGGGAGGAGGAGGAGGAGGAGGAGGAGGAGGAGGAGGAGGAGGAGGAGGAGGAGGAGGAGGAGGAGGAGGAGGAAGTGGGGCGACGTCATCAGGTCCGCCGTCGTCGGTACCCTGCTGGGATGGGGCTAGACAAACGCAAGCAGAGAGTTTGACGGAGGGGGGGCTCGAGCGACCCGATTCGCAAGTCGCTCTTGGGTTGCGCGCTTGGTGGCGTTTGCAGTCGAGTGGGCGAGTTTATAGAGCAGTGCTCACAGGGGCTCGACCCTCAAGGTTCTCCAGGCCAGCATCAAAGAGTTCACTGAATAGTTGTCCCAGTTTGTTGATGGGACACGCATGGCGTGAGTGCGGGCATGATTTCTTGGGGCTCTTCAGGGACAGGCGAGCTTGGGTGATGTCCCACCAGGGCCTCTTGCTCCAAGCTGGGAGGGCTTCGAGGGCTGCGCAGGAAGCCCCCTCTGTGCTGCGGATGGGGATCTGGCCATGGACGGGGGCGCTCTGCGCAGCTCCCGACGGAAGGGCGCAGGGGAACTTCGGTGGCATGTTCGGACAGGCTCAGCTGACCGTGCGCGGGCACATTCCGTCCAGGAGCCGATCTGTGCGGCTGGCGTGTATTCACTCTTGAGCCCTCCTCGCAGAGCCCCCAGGGGTGCGCACCAGTCCCAGGCCGGCTTGACCAGGCCCAGATCTGGTGCAGTGCATGGCGGGCTCCGTGCCTCCCCTGAGTCAACGCACTCGCCACCGTTCCGCAGAAGCGACTCGTACACCACATGCCTGGTCAAGGCCAGACCTTCCTGGCTCCGGCCAGGGCCCATGATGGCCGTGGCCAGGCATGGTGGTGGTGTGCAGGTGCCTTCTGCGCCCTCCACCGAGCCCTCCGATGGAGTGATTTTTCGCAACGTCGACCCCGGGAAGTTGAGACCACTTCCCCTGGACCGGCTGTTCATCACGCGTCCTTTTTCGGCGGTCCCAGGGCCACGCGAAGGCCCCGGGAGGCCGGGACTGACGCACAGCCGCCCCTCGCTGATTCCGCCACGGTGCGACGGGGTTCGGGCCCGCGCTGCCCCTGAGCTGTGCTGTCGCCGCTCCTCCTCCTCCTCCTCCTCCTCCTCCTCCTCCTCCTCCTCCTCCTCCTCCTCCTCCTCCTGCCATCCCTTGGAGGAGGAGGAGGAGGAGGAGGAGGAGGAGGAGGAGGAAGAGGAGGAGGAGGAGGAGGAGGAGCAGAGGGAGGGGAAGGCGCGAGCTCCTGCAGTGGTGCCTCAGGTACATCGAGCGCGCGGACCGCTCGGCCGCGCGCGCGCCCGGCCCCCCCCCCCATCGCTTCCTGCCGTCGCTCCCTCCTGTGCCACATGCCCTCTGCCGGGCGGCGCGGGGCACGCGCAGCGAGCCACAGCCGCAGGGCAAAATACCCACCATGCTGTCGCTTCCCGGCAACACGACGTCAGAGCGCGCGCCTCCCGGGCAAGCAGCTTGGCCCTTGCGGGCGAACCCACGGGCAGTTTGGGATCGTGCGGCTCCCGTTTGGAAGCGAGAGTGGTCAAAAGCGAGATAGGTTCGTTTGCTTGCACAGACCAGCCCTGGCCAGCACCACCCCCCCTGGCGGTGGGGCCGCTGTCGGCCTGCGTCCTGCATCCATCGGCGCCGGTCGCCCTTGCCAGCCCTGCCAGCCAGAAGAACCCAGCCAGCCAACCCCCAACCAGCCATACCAGCCACCACCATGCCAACCAGCCAAGCTGCCAACTCGCCCACACTCGCCGCCCGTCCGCCGGCACCGCCGACATGGGGTGCGCGAGAAGTGCTTCTGAACGGTGAAACAGAAGATAGGAAGGACAGACGGAGGAGGCCGATTCGCGCAGCGAAGTGGGGTGCCCCTCGACCGTCCTGGAGCCTCGCTTGGCCTCCTGGTGCCCAAGAGGCCAAGAGTGGCGCAAGGATAGCATAGGTAAGAATGATGTTGATGCTGGTGCTGCTGATGATGATGATGATGATGCTGATGATGATGATGATGATGATGATGATGCTGCTGCTGATGATGATGATGAAGATGAAGAATAAGAAGATTATGATTCATGGTGATGATGCTGATGCTGATGCTGCTGATGCTGATTATGATGATGATGATGCTGATGATGGTGATGATGATGCCGATGATGATGATGATGATGATGATGATGATGATGATGATGATGATGATGATGATGATGATGATGATGATGATGATGTTGATGATGATGATGATGATGATGATGATGACGATTATGGTGATGATGACGAGAATGATGATGCTGATAATAATGATGGTGATGATGATGATGGTGATGATGGTGATGGTGATGGTGATGGTGATGATGGTGGTGGTGGTGAAGATGTTGGCGGTGGTGATGATGATGCATAACGGGGAACTCTCTTCCAACCCAGACAGCAGTGGCCTCTTCGACGACCCAGCAGTGGGAAAACCGCTCTGGACAAGCCAGCTGGCCCCCTCCGTTTCCACGTTGGCACCTCACCCCCGCGAGGGGCACACTACATGGTAATCGTGCGGTAGCTCCTCTTCGCTCACGTGAGTATTTCACGTGAAGAATTCCAGGAAGGGCCTCGCCTTCGAGGATCGAAGGTCAACTTCGAAGGAGTTGTCATCTCTTCCTCGGCGGGAGGCCAGCGGAACGCGGCGGAAGCAAAACGAGGGCTGCTTCGTTGGCGGAAGCCAGCGAAAGCTGGCGGGAAGCCTAATCGGCTCAAGGATTCATCGGCCGCCCCCTTTCTGGGCTGGGTCGTACTTCCCAGCCCGACCGTACGCAATGGTTTCCGCGCACCGCCTGCCAGTGCCACCATAGTATCCAGCAGCGCCTCGACCACCCAGGTGCGCGAACCAGAATGATGTTGCGATCACCGAGGGCAACCATGTCTCCGCCTGCGGCCGTTGACACCTTTGTCCTCGCAGCCGTGTCCAACCACGTCTTTGGTCAGGTACTTGTTTGGTCGGGTGAAGTCTTTGGTCGGGAACAGCCGTGACCAACGGAGTGAAGTTTTTTGTGCACGTTTGGGCACTACTGCTGCGACGATGGTGTGGTGCACTCCTGTTTGCCGCTCCGTGTCGGTGAGGTGAGCGTTGACCGGCGGTCCGACTGGTCTGAACTTCCACGTGCCGGTCCGACTGGTCTGAACTTCCACGTGCTGTGAGCACAAGGACTTCGACGAGCTCTTGGGAGGAGCTCGGACGCAGGGGGAGGGCAGCGCCAAAGACGGTTGCTTCGCGCGGTGCGTCTTTGGAGACGGTTCTCATGCTCCTCAGTTGCCCTCGTCGTTTCGCCAGGGATGTCTCAAGAAGGTGACATGCAGGTTGACTGCCTGGCTCTCGCTGTTGTCGCAGGCCTAGAGATTGACACCAACACCAAGATCGGCGGTGTGCATCCACCGAGGGAGGAAGATCCCGATCTCGGTGATAGTGGTAATATTCTGGCTTCCAAGGTGGCCGAAATATTGCCACCAACACCGAAATCGGGGATCGTCTTCCCCCTGTGGAGGCAACCCCCTGTCTTGGTGTTGGTGCCCATTTCTAGGCCTCCAATGTTGGGCATTCCCTCACTCACGACGAGCCCGTTCATCCTTGTTGTTGGCGGGGCTCAGGTTGTTGAGTAGGCTTTGCACTGCAACATGTCGCTGCGCCTCGGTATAGCGCTGGCTCGCGGCTCTCTCGCTACGTGCCTCTGATGCCCGGTGATTTACTACATTTCTGACATTGGGCGCCACCCCTCACGCAGATCGCCAGGGTCAGAAACACAAATGATTTGTTACATTTCTGAAATTCGGTGGCACCCCTCACGCAGATCGGCAGGGTCAGGGTTCAAAAACACAAGGGATTTGCCACATTTCTGAAATTTGGCGGCACCCCTCACGCTACGTGCCGCTACGTGACCTCTCGTGTTCCTCTGCCCTGGGAGGGTGCGTCTCCAGCCCTTGGTGGGCTACGGAAGCGTCGGGGCCTTTTATTTTTACCGTTTCCGAAGAAGCGTCTTTCGACAGTGGGAATGGACAAGAATACGGCGACCGGAAGCGGCAACAAAAACGGCTCCGGGATTGGAGCCGGAGCCGAAACGGCGACGGGACCGGCAAACAAACGGCGTCGGAACGGGCAAGAAAACGGCAAAATGAAACCCGTACAAAGACGGCCATGTCGTTTCCAGGGCCCACTGAGCTCCAGCCTGTTCCCTTGGCGTTCTCCGTCTCCTTCGCGGCAAGTCTTGAGGCGGGGCTTCGGTTCCGCCGACTGGCAAATGTTGGATAAAGAATGGCGTGGCTGGCCGCGCGGCACAGACAGGTCCTCCGTCTCCATCGCCCGTCGGCACTGGCTTGTCTCAAAGTAACGTGCAGGTCGCTGCTTTGCGGCGTTGCTGGATGGCCGCCCGCACCCCAGAGGGGGCCATGGGCGCCGCCGCTGCAGTGCCGCCTCCGCACAGGCGGGGGCGCGGAGGGACGGGATTGGGGAGTCCGCAAGGCAAACGCCCTCGTGACCCAGCTCTGCCAGCCCCACTGCGTAGCCTCCGAGGGCCATCGTTCTCGATATGAATCGCCACATCGTGCGCCGCATGTTGAGTGATTTTTACCCTTAGCCCTTCACGAAGCGTCCGTCCTGAAGGCGCATTGGGCGCAGTGGTATGAAAAAGGGAAGCGGGCGGAAGCAAAGGATAACTACCCCCTCAGGGGCAACTTTTGTTGTTTGGTTCAGGGCTTGCGGAACCCGCCACGTGCCCTCGTTGGCAGCCTCGACAACACCCCTAGTGCCACCGGCGCGCAACGGGCCTGCACGCGTTCATACGGTTCGGGTGCGACGCGTAGCGTGTACCGCCAGTGCTCTTTGGCAAACAGGGCGAGTATGCCAACTGCAAAGCCTCGTGTCGGCCGGGGCCAGCCGGAGCTGGGCGCAGCGATCCGCTTTCGCTTAGATTTGGGACGATTCGCTGGCGCTCCGGTCCGTTTCCGATCCCACCCGCTTTCGCGATTCGATTCGGCCCATGCCTGGCATGGCGCGTGCGCTGGAAGTCTGGCAGCACGCGCTTCGCGTCGCACCCGAACCGAAGCCCAAATCCTTCAAAATCCTTTTTGGAAAGTCGAGGGTTTTTGCAGCGTCGCCCGTTCGCTTTCGACGGAGCCGTCCGAGGCCCCAGGATGGCTCCAAGGTGGCCCGAGAGGGCCCCACAGAGAGGCCCAACAGAGAGCCCACGGCGGCCCCCCAGCGCTGCCCGGGGGCCTTCCGCCCCCGAGCGCCGCCCCGGGGCGGGCGTGCGCGGCGAGGCGCGGCGAGGCGCCGCAGGGCGCGCGGGCCGGCGCGCGGACGCGCGGGCGCGCGGCAGCGCGTCGGGGCCCCGAGGCGCGAGCCGCCCGGCCCGCCCGGTGCCCGTCCGGGGCTCCCTGCCCAGAGCTCCGAGGCTCCGAGGAAATGGGGGCTTGTCTCGAGAGAGGAGCAGCGGCATCCACAGAAACTTGTGGCGCTCCGCGCGGAGCGCCACAAGTGTATGTTTGTGGCGTTGTCTTTCTGCTTCTTCTTCTTCTTCTTCTTCTTCTGCTTATTTTTCTTCCTCTGCGATCGCCGCTCCGTTTGTGATGTATCGCCGATTCGAGCTCGCTGCTTCCTCCCCCAGGGCGGGCCCCACCCCAGCTTTGGCCCCCACGTTCCCGCGCGCACCTGCCAGCGGTTGGGCCCCAGGAGGCGTCGCGCGCCCCGCAGCGCCGTCCCAGAGGTCCGAGGCCCCCAGATTTAAACAACATTTTGGAACGGCCGGTTTTGGGGGCCGACCGCGGCCTCCAGGGGCCCTCGGTGGGCCCAGGGCAGGACGATCGGGTCGGGCGAAAGGGGGGGAATTGGGAAAGGGGGGGTTACGACATTTGCTGCATGCAGCTGGTTTCGGCCTCACCGGGGAGCCCATTCCTCGAGACATAGCCGCCTCCGGCGCCGGGAGGCGCCGGGAAAATCAGCCACGTGAGCTGATTCTCCCCCCCCCCTTTGGTAT